TTTTGAGATGATTATTTGAGATGTTTTTGAGATGTTAATTGAGATGTTTTGAGATGATTTAAGATGTTGTTAACTTGGGTGTTGTTATTACATTCATGGTTGTGTCACATACATTGCATTTTTTTTTAGATGGAGCTTATGTTCGTTGAGATGGCCTGGATTGACAAATTTTGAGATGAAGGCTATGCCTTGTTGATGCCTCTATTAATTGGCAAATTTTTGAGATGGGAGTTTTTCTCCAATGGTATCACATGCATTTGCATAGTATTGAGTCGCATTATAAGATTGTTTAGAGAAGTGTATTTTGATGTTGATGAATGCGTATATGCGTTGTAATTATTGTAGATTATGAGATGAGAAGTGGTGATGTTATTGATCTAATTTAATATATTAATTATCATGCGCTTTATTATATTGTTAGATATCTCACCCCTTCTGTTTGAATGTTGCCCTTATGTTGGTAACGTGCAGGTAATCGAGAGTGAAGGTTGTATACCTTCGGTAGTTCGAGTCGGTGTTATTGCTCTGATATGTAACACTCGGGGGGATGAACGTTTGCTATAACATAATGAATGACATGAAATTTTGTACAAATGAAAAGTTTCCTAAACATCTTATGCTATAGAAAGCGATAAACGAGTACTTGGCGTGCACCAACTTCAAAATAATATCATTACCATACAACAACAAGTTGAAACGGTCAATTTAGGAAATCATCTCAAACTTCCTCAAGCCACTCAAAATAAGCTCTTGGACAAACACAAAAATAACAAATTAAAACAACTACTATAAACATACTAAAATACCGAGTGAAATTGAATTAAACAAGTTGAAAAGTGAAGATTTGAGAATTTTAAGAATTGGTCCAATTTCAACTTGTTTAACCAATTCACCACACTACCTATACTAATACAATAAAAACAATAAATAAACTAAAAACAATAAAACATGCTTTTTTTACGCTGTAAGCTCGACGCCTATTATTTATACACACTTTTCCAAGTTTCCTCTTTACACGATTAGCGCTTACCGACGGTGAAACGTAACCAAACACATAGCAAACGTGAAGAGAAAACGTATACACTAATTTTACAAGTATTAAAAATATATAAAATTCACAAATATGGTAAACATAAACAAATAAATGCATAAATATACATATACAAGTTTAATTACATTATATAAACAATATGAAAATTATGTGCAAAACTCAAAAACAAGGAAACTATCACAATGCGATGCAATAAAAACACCAATCATCGGCAATAATTCCATTTTTGCTGAAGCGGTAAAGCGACAATTTAAAGTAAGTAAATATTCATTTTTATCATATCGTCTTCACAAGGATTAGTGCTACTGAAATTCCATTCGATAGGTCTCGCGTTTATGAGTTTAGATTAAAATGGGTTTAAAGTAAATGCGGGAATTAAAATTTATGAATAGAAAAATAATTCATTCATTGGAGAGTAGAGAACTCTCGGGTTTGCATTTCGCCTATCCTATCAAATACTTAAACTTACTACCCAGTGGTAATCAACCTAAATCACTCATCAATATTATCATGTATCACTCACATAGAGTTTATCTCTAACACAGAGTGAGACAATGACTGTATTACTCGCGTCAGCGATCTCTCAGTGTAATACAAACAACATGGAAGCATTAAGCTCTGATACATAAGTGAATACTAAACCTTACTCTATCTCTAGAATTAAAAATCAATAGATGTTCATCCTAAATCCAAATTTGAACCGTTCATTTCTGCAACAATCCAAACCCAAATAAAGAAAGCAATCATCAACATTGATTTGTAAAAAGAGTTTCATACAACACCATGAGTAATAAATATACATATAATCAAGATAAAGTTACATACAAACTCCAACTAATAGAGATTATAAAGAGAAGAGAAGAAGAGGATCCAAACATTTATTGGTTTATCAACACCAAACAATGAGAAATTCAACCTCAGATAATCCAGATGCAAGCTCCATTATTGTTTTCTAAGCTCTCTAGACCAAAAAATGAAGGTTGGTGGAGTTAGGAACAAATACCCCAAAATCATACTTAAAAAATGTGTGTTTTTTTCTCTAAATATGTGTTTCTGCCCAGACCTTCTCGCCCGACGCTTAAAAGTCTCGTCTGGAGCTCAAAACAACATTTTTCACGCCTCAGGGTCGCCTCTGGCTCGCCTGGCGAGCTCGTGGAGAGGCTGACAGAAAACAAAAATTTAGCATTGTTTCAGCCATAACTCTGATTTACGCACGGTCAGAAGTGTTGGTAGGGTTATTTAATGCTCTATCTAACAATGACTAAATATCAATGCTTGAATACCTAAAAAATGAGATAAAAACAATGAAACTCAATGATATTTACACGATAACGCAATATATACACTCTAACATACACTATATTGAATATATACTAAAGTTGAGGTTTATTGACCAAAAGAAAACGAGTTAAGTCGGTGAATGCTAATTATTCACACTCAAATTCACAATAATTTAGCACTCATCGACGGTGAAACTTCATAGTGACCCAAACCAATGAAGTCACCGAACTTACACTATCGACACTAATGATCACTCATTACACAGATCTGGGTGCAATTCATCATCTTTGTAATTTATAGGTTGTGACTTTAAATGTGCTTTTGAAAAACACCCTATACAAAGAGATCAAATATTATTCGTAGAAATAAACACCTGTACAGAGAGATCATATTGAGCAGTTAAGAATAACAATCTATATCTTGAAAAAACATGAACATGACAAAAAAATATTAAGGCATGTTAGAGCATTGGAATGCAGTGAGAATGAAACAGAAAAAACCTTGAATCACTGCCGATGATGCACATCAATTCCCTCCATATTATTAGGGCATACGTAACAATCATGTCTGAAGAAAAAAAATAGACCACCTCACTAAATATAATTTACATAAACCAATTACAAATAAACCTATAAACCACATCATGAAAAACCTTGAATTTCAATTGGGACTATTAAAGTTAAACCCTACATCCTAAATTTAAACAAAATCATGGATCATTCTTGATAGAACATAAACCCTAAAATGAAGATTTTACATCTATAACATCCAAGTTTTACGTTTTCAAAATCGATCCACGTGAATGGAGATCCCAAATTGAAGTTAAATAATGTAAAAACAGAATTTTAATACATAAAGAGAACAAACTAAGACTAACACTCTGAGTGAGGACCTGACAAATCTAAAGAAATTTGATAGAATCAATAATCTCACTGAACATACCCCTAGCTTCTCATGGATAAAACACAAAATATATCGTTAACAACAATTTTGAACTTCAACTAAACAAAAGCCAAAGCAAACAAAGGGAAGTAGAAGAAGAGTAGAGAGATTCACGTAGTACCGTTCACTTCATATTCGTGTAGTACCATGCACTTCAGAAATCGACCACCACCGTCCAGTACAGATCCACTCATCCTTTCCCCAGTGCATCAATGAGGATAAACTGAACCACAATCTCGCCGATGCAAAAAAAATGAATTAGTGTTTTTACAGAGGTTTCTTCCTTCATATGCTCCAACCAAATCCAGAAAGTTCGTTCATAATCCTTATCAACCTTCTATAGTCGTTTTCGATCCAAAGAGAAAGATGAAGAGAAAGATGGCTTTGGAAGTGAGAGAAGAGGGAAGTGAAAAGTGAGATGTGAGAAGTGAAAGAAAAGAGATTTTTTTTAATTATGACATTGGAAAAAGAGAAAAAAGAAAAGAAATTGCAATTGAAATATGTGACATCATCAATTTAACTAAACGGAGCAAGTAAAGACATAATACAATAAGTATGTAGTTAAAATTGAACAATGTGACATCATTAATTGCAAAAAGTAATTTTTAGATCAAAATTATCCTCATTTTAGTGAGATGGTGGATTTAGAGGAAATGGCATAAGAGAGTTTTTTACGACATCTAATTTTCTTATATTAAAGATAATGACGAGCTTATAACAAATTTAAGGCAAATTTATGACAAGATTAAGAAAAAGTAAATATCAAAATTAGTTCAAAATTTTTGGAAAAGAAATTTATGCTTCTATCAAGTTAAAAATAAATTTATTGCATAAAGAATTACGATTCAATTAAATCTTGAATAAAACTCTACATATTTCTTAACAAAATTAATTGAGATTTTATGACTCAAACCCAATTACAAAACAAAATCAATCTAAATTTCCAATCAACATTGCATTAATGAAATATGTAAATATACATTCTTCAACTATATTTATGTTTTAGAAAATTTAAAACATTTTTCACAATTTTTTTGGTTACCTAAACACGAATCCCATGTTAATTAGAAGCATATAGTGAAACAGAAAAGTACAAAAATAATAGATGAAGCCTTGTTACAGTTCCAGCATGACCAGGTTTTATTTTATCAGCTTTAGGTGTACTTACTACTTAGTATCTTGGCTTTTAGTTTCTAGCAAAGCATATCCATATTTACCATCATGCTATTCACTCACAGACCATTAGTAGCAGAGAACATAATTATTTAGTGAAGTTATAATATTAATAAGGTTACTAAATTTGGGGAATTTCTAAATCAATCTTAAAATATGAGAATTTATTAGAAGAATTATTCTCCTATTATATCTTAATAATAATGTCTATATTTCGTCTTGATACATTTTTGTCTATATTTTTAACCAACATTATAAATATTTGATGACTAAAAAACTTGTTTGAAATATAAGAAAAAGTCAAAAAAAGTTAATAAATAAAATAAAATAAAAGAAAGAACATTAGATTAGATGCATTGAACCAAAAGAATAGTTCGTCAAACTAATGATAGTAACTTTCTACACATGTATAGTAGTATAATATAAAAGTCCATTATGACGCATTAAAAGAAAAAGAGAGTCATTATGTAAGGTAGATAGAGTCTATATAAGTGGCCTATTATTTGATTTATAAGGAAGAGAGACAAATAAGAGTAGTAGTCCAATATATACAATGGCTATGGCTGTTACTACTCAACTTAGAGTTTCCTATCGAACAAACACACTTCCTCCTCGTAAATCTTGTACTTCTACTCATCAATCATGGAACTTATCGCTACCAAATTTAAAATCTGGAATCAGACATAATAGATTATCGATCATTTCCATGGCTCTAAATGATAACAAGGTACTCTTACTTATCTCTCTTATGATATATCATGTTCTAAATTAATGATTTGAATATTTTTATATTCTCTCTGTTTTAAAATAATTGTTATTTAAGATTTTTGGGTGGGTGTGTTTTGTGCATACTTCTGGGTTTTGAAAATGAAAACATACAATACAATATCGAACAATAGAAGACAATTTTTTATACTCTTCAGTATTTAATTCTCAATGCATTTGATTATTTTTTAATTGTAATTTATTTGATATGTCTACATTTTAAACAAAATTATATAAATTTTATTATAATATTTTATTTATTTATTTATTTTTGTGGGAGACAGAGAGATATGATACTTTTTAAGTAAAAAATTTGAAAATAAAATATTTCAATTTTTTAATAACTTTTGTTTGAAAGAAAATGTTTTTCCATGGTATAAATTTTGTCTTATTCTATAATTATTTCCTACCTCATACAAAATATAAGAAAAATATTTTTGTTTAGTCCATTTTTAAGCTAATCAAACGCTGCTTAATTTTTTTACATTTCTTAATGTATAGTTTTTACACTTATGAACGTATCGATATGCCTTTAATTTATAATGACTATTTTTCAGTGTTTTAAAATTCAGCTTGACCCGGTCGGTCAGATCGGTCTGATCGAGAACCGGTGGATCAGGCGGTCCGATTAAGAAATAAGATCGGAATTACATTTAGATCGGATGAAATCGGTGTAAATCGGCCGAATTACAGATTAAATCAGTGAACTGACGGTTTTTACTGAACCGACGGATTTGACTATTTATTTTATTTTTTAGGGTTTTTGAAAAAAAAATTAACATAAACACTTTGCCTCCTCGTTTCCCAAACCTAGGCATTTGAAAAAAAAAAAATTTTATTCTGTCTTTTCTTTTTCTAATTGAAGTCATATTCTCAATTTTTTTCTACAAACAAAAACTCTCACTTGCTGCTGTTATTTGATATTCCTTGTTTGCCGTCAAAAATTTCATTAAAACATCAAAAACATGTTATTTCTTTTTTACTTGGTCTAATTTGCATTGATGTTTTTCAATATGAATATTATTGTTTCATTTTGTTGATTAATTGATATAGAAAATAAATGATTAAATTTGATCATTTTCTATAAAATTGAGTCTTTTAGTTTAACAAATTGAGATAGAATTTGTATGAATGAAGCAGTTTTATACTTTTATGAATTAATTTATTATAGACTGATAATGAAGTTGTATATTGGAGATAGAAATTGGGATAGATATATATTACTGTAATAGTTTGTAATAGTTGTTGTATATATTATGGAGATAAAAATTGGGTTTAAAACTATGTAATATAAATTATATAGTAAGACAAAGTTTTCTGTTTTTTATTAATTTAAATTATATAACAAAAAAAAGTTTCAGGATTTTATTAATCTAAAATATATAGCAAATGCTGGAAAACAATGTTTCTATTTTTTTATTATATATGGTGATGCACAGTAACGATGTTTGGTAGCCTATATGTAATATACAACAACATATTCATATGTTTTGGATTTAGATATGCTACATATTTAATGTTTCTTATTTTAATGTTTCTTAATATTTCTTAATGTTTCATGGACATAAAAAGTTATGGATAGTTGAGTATGGATTTTTGTGACTTATTATAATATTATAATTTATGAATTGTTAAATTTCTATCACTTCTTTGAATTTATAATTTGCTAAATTAAGTTTCTATCACTTATTTTGATTGTTACTAATACTTTTGTTTATTCTAAATTATTTGAATTTATAATTTTCTATATTATTATAGTTACAAATTTCAGGTAATGAATATATTTTTTATAGAAACTGGGTCAAAAATCATGTCTGACCAGTGACCCACTTGTCTGACCAGTAACCCAGTGACCCAGTAACTTTACCGAGTCGATCACTGGTCTGAATTTTAAAACATTGCTATTTTTAAAATCGTACACATAAATAAAGGTAGAATGATCTAATATAATATTTTATAATGACAAATTAAGAAAATTATTAGATAAACATAATTTATAAATTATTTAATTCATATACACTATTGTAATAAAGAATTAGTATTGCGGTATCAATCAATCATAAATATATATTTATTAAAAATTTGCTTTTTATTATATTCACTTGTAAAGGCACAAAGATGTGAACTAACTTTCATTTACATTGTTGGTAAATAGTTGGCAACTTTAGAGACTGAAGATAAGTCCAAAAATTTAGATCAATGCAAAAGAAGAAGCCAAGAGGCATTGTTAAACTTGAGTGATCCTATTGAAACAATGAAGATGATTGACTCAATCCAAGGGCTAGGAATTAGCCACCATTTGAAAGATGAGATCAATATACAACTTGAGAGGATATGTGATTGGGATGCTTCTACAAACCTCTTTGCAACATCACTTCAATTTCGTTTACTTAGGCATAATGGTTGGCCTACATCTTCTGGTATATTACATTTTCATATTTTTTAGTCGTGTTTATTGTCTTCTATTTCTGTATAATCTTTATTCTATTAAGTGTTGATAAATTGAATATTTTTACTTGTTATTTGGCCGTAGACGTTTTCAACAAGTTTTTGGACAAGAGTGGCAATTTCAAGGAGTCACTGACCAAAGACATTTGGGGTATGTTAAGCCTACATGAGGCATCATATTTAGGGACAGAAGATGAACAAATATTAAAGAAAGCCATGGAATTTTCAAGGACTCGTCTAAATGAGTCCATCCTACACCTTAGTCCTGAAGATGGTAAACACTTTTGTAGAGCCTTAACACTTCCAAAGCATCTAAGAATGGCAAGGTTAGAAGCTAGAAACTACATGGATGAATATAGGCATGCAAGTAACCAAGTACCAACTCTTTTGGAATTGGCAAAGTTAGACTCTGACATGATTCAGTCACTACATCAAAGAGAATTAGCAGAAATATGCAGGTGGTGGAAAGAGTTGGGACTTGTAGACAGTCTTGGTTTTGCAAGAGATAGACCAACAGAGTGTTTTTTATGGACAGTGGGGATTTTTCCAGAACCGAGTCATTCAAATTGTCGCATTGAACTTACCAAAACAATATGCATTTTGCTAGTTATGGATGATATCTTCGACACTTATGGAAGATTTGATGAACTTGTTCTTTTCACAAAGGCAATCAAAAGGTATTGCTTCAATAGAATTATTATGTATTCAAAATGATATTTCAAACTTAAAAAAAGTTCTTGAAATATAGATTGTTTGATATTGACCCAAAGACACTGACTGACACATTGATTACGAAATTATATTAATCAAAACTTAAATGAACTTGTTTTTGCAGGTGGGATCTTGATGCAGTAGAGGACCTTCCTGAATACATGAAGATATGTTACATGGCATTATATAACACCACTCATGAAATGGCATATAGAATTCAGAAAGACCATGGATTAACCGCGGTTGCTTGCTTGAAAAGAACAGTAAGAATCTACCAGTTAATTTAAACCAAAGTTTAGTTATTAGAGTAACTTGTTAAGAATCACTTATTTTTTGATTATTTGGTGTAGTGGATTGACATATTTGAAGCATTTCTGGAAGAAGCCAAGTGGTTCAATAATGGATATGTGCCAAGTTATAAGGCATATTTGGATAATGGAGTGATTTCTGCTGGATCATGCATGGCATTGGTGCATGCTGCTTTCTTCATTGGTGATGGTCTCTCAAAGGAAACCATTTCCATGATGAAACCATATCCTAGACTCTTCACTTGCTCCGGAGAAATTCTCCGACTATGGGATGATTTAGGAACTTCAACGGTATTTCTCATATCACTACTAAAAAAAAGTTGAATCACATGCAAAAGTTATAAAAAAGTTGAATTTAAATTTTGATTTTCAGGAGGAACAAGAAAGAGGGGATAATGCTAGCAGCATACAATGCTTCATGAGAGAAAATAATATTGTAGATGAAAATGAAGGAAGGAAACACATAAGGTTGCTAATAGGGAACTTGTGGCGAGAACTCAATGGTCTTGCCATGACCAAAACCTTGCCCTTATCTGTTGTTAAAGCTTCTCTTAACATGGCTAGAACTGCTCAAGTTATTTATCAACATGGAGATGATAAAAGCACTTTTACTGTTGATGATTATGTGCAAACATTGATCTTCACATCATTACCTGCTAGCCATTAAGATGAAAATATATCAATTGTGTGTTGTATGAAGTTGATATAAGGTTGTGATTAGTGACTCAAAAATCCTTTAGGCAATGGTTTTCTTAGAAACGAAGGAAAAAGAGAAATAAAAAGAGACTGTGAGAGATCAAAGTAGCGACTGTATGTAATAAGGCTTATAGTAATCAATACAAAAATGAGGAAACAATACGGTCATATATATACTAAGTAACTTCAAGTTAATAATCATATATAGAACTAGTAGTAACTAGTTAATTATAATTACCTAACTACCATATTAACTAACTTCTAAACAATCTAAGATGAAAATATCTCAATTGTGTGTTGTATGAAGTTGATATAAGTTTGTGTAGTAACTCAAAAAATGCATTAGGCGACGGTTGTCCTAGAATACACTCTTATATTTCTCTTGCCATTAATACTTATATTTCACTTGTAGATGCAATTCATAATACCAATTTGAAGGAAGACTTATTTGGTGCATCAATTGCGTGAATCTAATCAAGTGACATATGGTCTGTTATATATATATATATATATATATATATATATATATATATATATATATATATATATATATATATATATATATATATATATATATATATATATATATATATATATGTGTGTGTGTGTGTGTCAAAAAGTACAAGTGTGTGTGGTATACCTACAATGGTAGGGGATATTCAGAGGCCTTAGTAGATTTATAACAGTTTGTAAAGGTTATGGCTTGCCCACGACAACGAGAAGTCTTGTAGTTTTGGATAACCTGCTCACGTGAGGTTAGAGGCTATATGTATAAGCCTTATCTTTTGGATGTTATGTGTAAGTTAGGATATGTCTTCTCTCGTTAGGGGAGATATATTTATAGTGGTTTTGGGCCTAATTTTTTTTTGGGAAGAGTTATTGTCCACTCAGTCAATGATGGACCGTTGAACCCCTATTTGTTAGGGGGATGTGGACCACCTACTCACCCAGATTTCTCTCTTCTCAAAGAACTTCTTTTCCATGTTTTTCCATATCTGGCAAGAGAGGGTACTTGGGGCGAGGCAATACCTCTTTGAAGGTGACATAGTGTCGTCGCACCTCTAGGGGTTGTAAGGCTCCCGCCCTTGTCAGATCTTTTATAAATATAATACTACACAATCGATCAAGCGCGAGAGTTTTAATGAAAGAGCGGAGTGCTTTTATACCGTAGAACGAGGGAGTATTTTGAGGCACTCAGCTCCCTGATGCTATGTGTGATGAACTAGACCGACTAGGAAAGATTATGTTAAGCCCAACTAGTAAGACTATGAGTCCCTCAAGCGAGATTATATGGAGCCTCGTTCATGAGACTACAAGTCCCTCAGGAAAAGTGTTAGACCTATAAGGCGAGACTTCTACCAAACCCTCAGATGATATTTAATACTAAGTCTCTTAGGTTGTACTTCGGCCGCACCTCTAGGAGAGATTTACGTGTTTGGTCCTGCCCGAGGAAACTTTAAGTTTTGTAGTCGGAAGATTCAGATAGGCTGTGAGATCTTGGTCCATAAGGCGAAATTATATGGAGCCTGATTAATGAGACTACAAATCCCTCAGGAGAGATTATATGGAGCATGAATGATTTGACTACAAGTCCCTCAGGCTAGACAAAAAACCTCTCGAGCGAGACTTTTATCAAACCCTCATATAATACTTAAGACTAAGTCTCTTAGGCTATACTTCGGTCACGCCTCTTGGGAAAACCAGGAGATATCACATTTGCAACAAACACCTACCATGCATATTTCTTTCGGGAGGAACTAGAAGTACCTCTACTAGAGAAACATTTTGCTATGGTTTTTATATTGGAGTGTATGGTTTTATCGACCATCTTCGGTGGTAAGATGGAATGAATAAGAATGAAAGAGGTTTGACCAAGTTAGTTTTACTAGATCCCTACGGTGGATGCCGCTATACCGGTAAAAATTTACAGACACGCATGGTATCCCTACAAGGGGAAGGGATACTCAGAGGCCTTAATAGGTTTATAATTATTTGTAAAAGTTAGGGCCATCCCATGGGAGAGAGAATCCCTATATGGTGGTTTTATGGTGATTTTAGAGGATCTACTCATGTGAGGTGAAAGACTCTATGATTAAGTGTTCTGCTTTGGGTGTTATGCGTAAGTTATGATATGTCTTCTCCTGTTAAGGGGGAGGTATTTATAGAGGCCTTGGGCCTATGATTTTCTTGGGAAGGGTTATTGCCCACTCAATAAATAGTGGGTCGTTGAACTCCTATTTCTTATGGGGATGTTGACCAACTACTGACTCTAACTTCTCTATGCCCAAGGAACGTATTTTCCCATGTTTTCTGATATCTAGGAGAGAAAAGGAAACTTTAGGGGAGACAATACCTCTTTGAAGGCGACATATTATTGTCGCCCCTCCTGGGGTTGTAAGGCTCTCGTCCTCGTCAAGTCTTTTAGTTAGTAATCACATATAAAACTATAACCGCATATAGAGTTAGTTATAATTACCTAACTATCATATTAACTAACTTCTAAATAACTTAGGATTGATTAACTATCAACATGCTCCCTTAATTCATTCCTATAGAAATTAGTTGAGAAAAAATGCCCCTAATGCATTTCTAAAAATAAAAAATTTACCAATCTTCAATCCTTTGGTTAACACATATGCATCTAAGCAAAATTAGGGTAACATATAACCTTTAGCTTTCTTTGATTGACTTAGTCTCTCAAAAAATAAAATATTGCCTCAATATTTATCCTCCAACCATGCAAAAATGTGTTCTTTGCTAGATTAATACTTGACTTATTATCAATTTGAAACTTTATTGGAATCTTGACATCAATCTTCAATTCCTTTATAACTAACTTCATCCATATGGTCTGACATACAACATAAGATTCAACTATGTACTATGACTCACATGATGAAAGAGCCACAACTTGTTTCTTCCTTTATCACTAAGAAATTGGTGAATTAAAGAACTTAAAGTAGTATCTTGTGGTGCTTCTTATGTCCACTTTAACACCACACCAGTTTGGATATGATTAGAAAATAATCTCTTCTTCTAAGTTCTCTACAGATTTTAGAAACATAATTTTATAGTTCATTGTGCCCTCAAACACCTCAACACTCTTTTACCTACAGTCAGATGAGTTCTCCTTGTATCATTCATAAATCGGCTCACCAAACCAACATCAAAACAAATGAATGGCCTAATATTGCATATATATATCTAAGATAGTTGACTATTTGTTTGAGCACTATGGAATCCTTTTTTCTTCCTTTTCTCCTTTCTCTAGCTTAACATTTTCTTCAATAGGTGTTTTTGTAATTAAGGGTATTGATAGTTATTTAGCCAGTGTACTAAATTTTTGTCGAGTAATAATATTTTTAATAAATTTGTCTTCACAGAGATTGCTTAATTGCAACATGAAAATACTATTGCATTAAAATTACTAAGTTGGGGGTATATTCATGAAAAGTTTGATTTTAACATAAAAAAGAAAATATATGAAAAGTATTTCAAATTGCAACATAATAAGGCTTTTCTCTAATCCTTTATTTCTCACTTGTTGGTAATTATGTCTATTCTCTAAAATTATTCTTTTAGTATTACGATAAATTAACAAAATTGAAATTTTGGTATCCAGATCTCAGATGTCCTAAGAGATGTCAAGACACTAATCTCTGAACAAACACACAATGACAAGGTATAACAATTTAAATAGTGCAGAAAATAAAGGAACACACAGAATTGTTAACCCAGTTCGGTATACAACAACAACTACTATGGGGGATACCAATCCAGGGACGAAGTTAACTAAATAGTATCAATTTGTAGACCCATAACAAACTTTCACCAGTTTACAATCTACTCACTTAATTACTACACATGCTTAACTTCTACCTAAGACTCACCTAGGTATGAGACCCTTCTCAAATCTCTTTCAATCACAATAGTGATTGAACAACTCTAAATAGTTCATAATAAATTTTAGAAGACACGTTTCAAAGACACACAATCATTCACTGCTTAAAAGCTTTAGAATAATTGACAGAACTTACAACTCAATAGATCAATCCTACTATTTTATCAAGATGATATTATAGAGGCTCACAATTAACACACACAAACCCTAAGAAAATACACGTAAGTTCCACACATGTATTAGAGTTGTATCCTTATTTTTATAACCTTGGGTAGACTGGATTTGGGCTTCAAAAACACAATTGATTTGTTGCTAAAAATCAGCAGAAACTTCTGCATGAAATTAGGACTTCAATCATACGTTTCCTAAAATGTCTCAACATCCCTAAAATGTCTCAACATCAGAAAACAGAATAACTTCAACACAATCTATGATTCCTCAGTCTTGGATGCCATATAGGATTACTTAATATTCATAGAATATTCAATAATTTAAATCAACTGTATCCAATATGTAAAAACTAAAACAAACCATATGTCGTACTCTTCTGGTTAGGACATCACATTCGACATATTGAAATTGCAAGTTAAAACATCTTGTTCATCATGTTGCTGCCAAGTTGGCTTTACCAAAATTAATGCCAATCACAAAAATAGAGAATTAACAATCTCCCCCTTTGGAAAATTTTGGCTAAAACAACTAAATAACCCTTGCACACACCACAATCATAGAACCACACAAATATCAGAGGCATGGCAGCATAACACACAACAGCAAAAATATCAGAGTATTAGTTAGAGGAAGCTACTCAACACAACAACCAAAAAACACATCACAACAGAGTATCATGTATGATAACTCTTCACAGCAGTCCAATCCAGAACAAGGACTCCCCCTCAAAACATGCTAGGTAACACTTAAGAGAATAGAAAGTTCCCCCCATCAATAGAAGCAACACAGAAGCAATAAAAGAATCAAAATTCTCCCCCTCAATATCGCACACACATCACACATTACAAATTACTCCCCCTTTTTAGCAAGAATATGACAAAGGTGAGTAACTAACCAAA